CCCGGCTTCTATTTGTTTCTAGAAAATAGGTTTCTAGCCCACATGGCTGCAGAAATAGGCTTTAACCTCAGGTGTGTGACCTGAGGCCCAGGAGCCAAATTCTACCTTTCAGGCGTCTCCATCTGGGTCTCACGACTCTCCCCAGGCCACACCGCCTTCTTAGCCACACCCACCTTCTTCAAGCTAATTGTCTCACCGAACCTGTTTTGCACCCTCCTGTATATATATATATATTTTGCCTGGCTGGAATGCATCCTAGCACTCTTTCTTGCTTGGGTAGAGGATAGAGAGGGGCAAGTGAGTGTGGGTAGAAACTAGCCTACTGTGCAAAGGTGAAATTTACACCAATTGCTCCTCCCCCTTTGCCTTTGGCTCTGCCCACCACTCACATGTGGCCCCTGGGAGGCTGCTCAGAAAGGAACGAGGTCCCTGGTCTGAAAAAGCTACTGCACCCTGTTTTAACTACCGTATTTTTCACTCCATAAGACGCACCAGACCACAAGACGCACCTAGTTTTTGGAGGAGGAAAACAAGAAAAAAAATATATTCTGAATCTCAGAAGCCAGAACAGCAAGAGGGATCGCTGCACGGTGAAAGCAGCAATCCCTGTTGCTGTTCTGGCTTCAGGGATAGCTGCGCAGCCTGCATTCGCTCCATAAGAGGCACACACATTTCCCCTTACTTTTTAGGAGGGAAACAGTGAGTCTTATAGAGCAAAAAATACGGTAATATGTGGGCATCAGGTGCACCAACTCTAGGAGGCAGAGGTGTCGCCAGGGCCCTCAATGTTCCTTAGCAGGGGGCTCAGCCCCTCAATATGGAGGGTGCAGAGGAGGTCGAACCACCGAGCCAAGCGCAGTGCAGCATCAAAGAGAGGTTCCTCCTGAGCATGGGAGAAGAGGAGCCATGGCCGTTGGAGCTGCACAGCACTGGGCAAGGCTTCCTCCCAATGACATGTCTCCACCTGGTGTCTCCTCCCCGCACCCCATCTTTAGCCCAAGGCGGTACCTCTGGTGGACATGGCAAAATGTCCACACCTTGAAAAGACTTCTAGGATTTCTGCGATCATTCAGTGAGGTTTCCGTGCTCTGTAAATCATTGTTCCATCTGTTCATGATGCCCAGAAGCGGAATGCGTTATGCGAAGGAAGTGTCATCTAATCTGCATAATTTATTCAGTGCACAGAATTTATTCAGTGCACAGAACCCAGATTTTACAGCAGGCTCTAGATTACCTCAGTACAAGTTTGAAAAGCGCACCGCAAAATTAACGCAGCCTCACCTGTCTGTAACCAACACAATTTGATAAAAGAATATGCCTCAGAAAATGGGGGTTGCCCTTCCAGTTATCACAGCGAGCCCACCTCCGAGAGATGAATCCTCAATTTATTCACATTTTCCCTTTAAAAAAGACAATTACATGGGGGTGTGATTGATTTGCCTGGCACTTTACACACCTGCCTTCCTGAGCCACTCCCCCTTTCCCAGCACAGGTGAACTTCCAGCTCATTTCATCCCATTTAATACATTTGTACACTGATGTCCTTTGAGGGGTGAGAAGTGCAATTAAAATAACCATTAAAAAGTTTTCAAAACAAGGAAGAAAAGCAGACAAACACAATACAAAATGCATACTGAACTGCCACTAAGCAAGGGCAAACCCTGGTGATGTAGGAGCATTACCACTGACGGTTCAAACTGCAAGCTGTGTTCAGCATGGTGGCATAAATATCCGCCCCTTCTTTCTCCCCTCTCTTTTTCTCTGCCTTGGCTTTCTGAATTTCACTTGGCAAGTAACAGTAGAATTTTCGCTGGCAGTGATTGACAACTTCTGGCACACGCAATTCATTTGATTTATCTTCTGATTTATGAGTGATAACACCCTCAAGGGCGTGTCTGCCTAAAGACAATATTCATCTTTTTCTTTGTCAGGTAACATCATTCTGCCTTGTTTTCGCGATCCTTCTGAAGTGTATGCTCTATTCTCTGCTGCTGCTGTTTGGCGTACATCATTCTGAAAGATCCTAAAGAGCTATAAGTGCAATTCTATGCCTAGTCTGAAGCAGGCTCCCTTGAGTTCAGTAAGTACCCCTCTGCTCTGCCTCCACAGTCAGAGGCTGTAATCACATGCATTTCAATGGGTCTACTCTAAGTAAAACACAGTGGACTACCACCCCATTATGCAAGTATTTTAACTTGAAGTGAAGCAGATTTGTTCCCCAAAGTTCTCCTCTGTGAATTCTGATCAACAGCATATGTGTGTTCAAATACTCAGAGAATAGCCAGCTTGGGAACCCAACTGGGATGAGCGATCGGGTTAGGAAGGTAAGGGAAATAAATGAAGAAATAAATATTAGCCAGGCACTCACAGAATATTTTATATTCATATTTTATTTCATATTTTATTTCATAAGCTGATGGTTTATCATCTGCTTGCTGAGAACTAACATACCATAGCATTTAAGCTGTTGCCCTATTATCACTCAACCGGGAAATTAGGTCCCTTTACACTCCATGGGGCTTACCTCCGAGTAAACACATATATCATTCCACTTATTTGACATTGATTGATAGATGACATGCAATGGTATTTAGTACACTTGGTATGTCATACTATATGCTGTCTTTGATAGGGGACAGTCTGTGAGTTTTCATATTTGATGCCTCTCCAACTGCAGAAAGATAGAAAGATGCCAGCCTAAAGCAGTTAAATACACACACACACACACACACACACACACACACAGTGGTACCTCAGGTTAAGTATTTAATTCGTTCCGGAGGTCCGTTCTTAACCTGAAGCACCACTTTAGCTAATGGGGCCTCCTGCTGCTGCCGCGCCTCTGGAGCACGATTTCTGTTCTCATCCTGAAGCAAAGTTCTTAACCCAAGGTAATATTTCTGGGTTAGCGGAGTCTGTAACCTGAAGTGTATGTAACCTGAAGCATATGTAACCCGAGATACCACACTGTGTGTGTGTGTGTATGTATGTGTGTGTGTGTTTATATATATATATAATAAAAAATCTGAATTCCAGATATGTCACATCTGAAAGACATACCTTTGGCTGGATTAAGCTACTAAAACTAGAATCATCTCAGAATTTCAAAGTAACTTGAAGAGGATGAAGCTTAGAATTCAAGTGTTTGGAGGAGATAGAATCAAGAAGTTATGAACAAAACTCTGCTGTCGAGTCCGTTTTCCGAAGCCATCCGCTGGAGTTTTCCTCTACATGTCCCCTTGTATAGGTCAGGCCGTCCGTTCATTGTTGGCAGAGAAAAGATTCTTTTCCTCGTGTTTTGTGTTTGAGTTTCCTTTATCCTCTGTGTATCATCGTGGACCCTTGTTTGTATCGTTTGTGCAGCGCACGACTCCACATCCAAGAGGTTTGTTAGCAAAGGAGACGTGAACTATGAACACACTGCCCTGACATTTTAGGCAAGAGAAACAGGATCATACAATTCTCTCGGGAGCAGCCGCAGACTTACGAGCGAGCCTCTTCAGTATGAAACTCAGGTGTAATTGAGCATGCACAAAGGACGGGCAACATGAAACCCATGAGAATTGTGTCCGAAAGCCCTGCTGCCAGCAGGATTTCCACAGAATTTCCAGCTCTTCATCTAGATCCTGCTTGAGATTGGGTGGGTGAGGCAGAAAACAGAGGGAAATTCTGTGCAATGTGCCTAATGCTGATGGATCAGACCATTGGTCCATATAGCTCAGTCTTGTCTACACTGGCAGCTCTCTCTAGGGTTTAAGGCATGAGTCCCTTCTAGAGGGACCTGGAAAAGCTGGGGATTGAAGCTTCTGCACTCAAAACAGCTGCTGTACCAGCAAGGGTAGGGGACGCGCGTGGCGCTGTGGGTTAAACCACAGAGCCTAGAACTTGCCAATCAGAAGGTCGGCAGTTCGAATCCCTGCGACGAGGTGAGCTCCCGTTGCTCGGTCCCTGCTCCTGCCAACCTAGCAGTTCAAAAGCACGTCAAAGTGCTCCCCGCTCTGGTGGGAAGGTAAACGGCGTTTCCGTGCGCTGCTCTGGTTCGCCAGAACCTTCAGACTTCCCCTGCCCTGTTTTCCTTCCTTGACTAGGGGCCTGGCTGCAGACTTGCATTTTTATAACCTGGCCAGAGAGCTGTTGGGGAACCCTGTTAATAAGCACAATATGTTACCTGGGCTTATTCGTTTACTTATTTAAAAGAATTTGTATGCCGCTTTTAATTATATGTATAACAAAACCATTCAACTCTCTAACCCAGCGGTTCTCAACCTGTGGGTCCCCAGATGTTGTTGGACTACAACTCCCATCATCCCTGAGCTCTGCCCTTGCTAGCTAGGGGTGATGGGAGTTGTAGTTCGGCAACATCTAGGGACCCACAGGTTGAGAAAGGCTCCTCTAACCCCATTGAGGGAGCCCATGGTATAGTGTCCTCTGGTTGGCCATATTTTAACCCATGTGACAGCAGTGTGCTGCTCTGATTGGTGCTGGTTGCCACTAGGGGTTGCTCTACACCGCAAGCATGATGGCAGCTCTCTGGTGGAATTCATTCCTCAGGGAGTTTTGACTGGTGAACTGGATGAAGACATTTCTATTTCCCCCAAGCCTCTTTAGTCGCCAATATTTCAATTTTTTTTGTTTTAAGACCACAAGAACCCTGCTGGGACAGATCAACGGGCCCCGTAGTCTCCTACCCTATTTCACTTAGCAGTCAAATGATTGTCTATGAAAAGTCCACAGGCAGCGCCTGAAGACCACAGCTTTTCCACCTGCAGCTCCCTAGTAACTAGTCTTCATTGGCATATTGCCTCTGATCCCAGGGGCTGCATAAAACTACCTTGGCTAGTGACCAGTAAGGATTGGGGTGGGGGGTAGAGAGGAGAAGAATTCAATTTAGTTCACATTTCAATGCAAACCTACCTAATTCACACCTCCAGAAACAATGTGTGCATTGAAATGCAGATACCCTTTGAAATTTGCAAACTTCTCCAAACTTTCTGATGCAGGTTCCCCAGCCGAAATGTTCCTACGAAAAGCAGCAGCATATATACTGGAGGAAAAGTGTTCATAAAGGTATACAAGTTGGTGAAAATGGGATACAAAGTGTATTGCAATGGGGAAAACGGGAGAAATTCACATCAAAATGCTAACAAATTTTAATGACGAATTTTAAAAACAAACTAATGCAGAAATGTGGCCAGTTAAACTCAAGTCGGAAGAAGTAAGAAGTTCAGGAGAAACCAAAAGTGACAGATTTGTTCATCTCCACTCACCAGAGGCAGACCTCTGTTGCATAAATTTGCCCCGAAACCTCCTTTGAAGGGTACAGTTCTCTGTGATTTTGCCCTTTTTGTGATCCATTAGAATCTAGGAGATCCAAATGAAGGGCAAAACCCAACAGGGTAGACAAATTGGTCTCCATAAGTCATAACATCCTCTAAATTTCTAGCCTCCCTCCCTTTCCCCTTTGTCATTTGCGGGGACTCGCCAAACTTAACGCTCTGCTTTGACTACGGTTGTTATCACTTTTCCTAAGGAGGGAACCACGAAGCAGCTTCAAGCAGCAAAGAAATCATAACCATTTTAAACAGATTTATTTCTGAGCTAGAGTAGATGCATCATGTTGAGCAATACTTCCCTTCCCTCCCTCTTTCTTTTCTTGCAGGGGGTGGTGGGAGCTGGAGGAGGAGGAGGAATCACGTGCAAATACAGGCTAAGTCCTGATAAGAATCCTGAAAGTAAACAATGAATTCCTACTAATGGCTAAGTCACCAAGGTAAGATCAAGTCTAAATACACACCCTTAGTTAAATATGATTTCATTAACTCACATTACGTGGCTCTGCTGAAGTTTTTCTCCTTCTGATCCCTGTCGGGTGAATTGCACACGAGGTTGATCAATCATTTTCTGACAGCCTGTTTGCATCTGCTCCGGGTTCGAAGCAGGGCAGCCTCTGAAAGGTTTCGCTTTGCTTTGCAGGTCTCGGGCAACCACTGCTTCTCTCGGCCAGCTCCCCTTGCTGGGTCACAAGTCTGGCCTTCTCCAGGGCTAGTGCAGGCATAGGCAAAGTCCGGCCCTCCAGATGTTTGGGACTACAATTCCCATCATACCCTAGCCAGTGTGGTGTAGTGGTTAAGAGTCTCGTAATCTGGTGAACCGGGTTCGTGTCCCCGCTCCTCCACATGCAGCTGCTGGGTGACCTTGGGCCAGTCACACTTCTTTGAAGTCTCTCAGCCCCACTCACCTCGCAGAGTGTCTGTTGTGGGAGAGGAAGGGAAAGGAAAGGAGAATGTTAGCCGCTTTGAGACTCCTGAAGGGGAGTGAAAGGCGGGATATCAAATCCAAACTCTTCTTCTTCTTCTAACAGGACCAGTGGTCAGGGATGATGGGAATTGTAGTCCCAAACATCTGGAGGGCCGGAGTTTGCCTATGCCTGGGCTAGTGAGACTGAATAGGCTTTCTTAGAGAACATCAGGGGCTTAGAAACTTAGGAAGTCAGACCAGTATCATTTACCCCCAAGGCTCCAGGCACCTACCTGGAGATGTCGAGGATTTAACCTGTGGCCTTCTGTATGCGGAACAGATGTTCCACCACAGACCTATGGCCAGCGGTGGCTGTTGAGCAATGAGAATGATAGGGCAAAAGTTGGGGAGATCAAATGGTAGGTGGAGCCGGAGCCAATGACAGGCAGTCGACTAACTCTGGTTTTGTCCCGCCCCCCCTCCACATTGAGGTCTCCTTCTGCTGGTTCTCTATCCCTTCTGCAGGCATCACCTGGTTTCGGTATATTTTTAATTAGTTTTCGGATCTACAAAACAGTTCTCAGCTCAAACAGTTCTCAGATATCGTCAAACCAGCAATCGTCCTTATCCGTACACAAAATAAACTGTGACGCGCATGTAAGAACACAAAAAACACAGGTGTATAGTAGTTCCGTAGGTTTTACTGAGGGCTGCAAGGTGGCCACATAATCACAACATCAAGTTTATGCTATATGTAAACTCCTTGACCAAATCCACTCATAAGCAAGAGGGGATTCTAGACCGTGTTCCTCTTTACCTACAAATGAAATAAAAAGGAACTGAAATGGCCCCTGGTAACTCTTAATTTGCCTGTTAATTACTCCAGAAGAGCAATATCCCAAACTTTAGTATACCAGGTTCTAATATTAGCCCCAATAGTTAATAAGTGGCTATGGTTTTCCCAGTAGTGATGTATGGAAGTGAGAGCTGGAACATAAAGAAGGCTGATCGCCGAAGAATTGATGCTTTTGAATTATGGTGCTGGAGGAGACTCTTGAGAGTCCCATGGACTGCAAGAAGATCAAACCAATCCATTCTGAAGGAAATCAGCCCCGAGTGCTCACTGGAAGGACAGATCCTGAAGCTGAGGCTCCAATACTTTGGCCACCTCATGAGAAGAGAAGACTCCCTGGAAAAGACCCTGATGTTGGGAAAGATGGAGGGCACAAGGAGAAGGGGACGCCAGAGGACGAGATGGTGGGACAGTGTTCTCAAAGCTACCAGCATGAGTTTGACCAAACTGCGGGAGGCAGTGGAAGACAGGAGTGCCTGGCGTGCTCTGGTCCATGGGGTCACGAAGAGTCGGACACAACTAAACGACTAAACAACAACAACAGTTAATAAGTGGGGGCTAGTTGAGAGTAGACTGAGGTTGGTGGGGCAGCACCCCTATAGCCCTAATGGACCAACCAGCCCCCATTGCCCATGGCCCCTTTCACTTGTTCATTATCCCTTCTGTAGGCATAGTCCGGTTTCCATACATTTAATGAGTGGCAGTGGGCTACCATTATTGAAACAAAGCAGGTTGCTTTGAGGTGAGGTGGAAGTTTTCCTGTAAGTGCCATATCTGTACCGGATCATTCCCATGTCGGGCTTGTTGTCTCCAATCAGTAGCACAGTAACAATCAGAAAGGCATACATTCACAGACTTGTTGGGCAAGTGGCTAAAAAGCATTCACTGCTGCCTAAAAGGCTGCCATAACACAGCAAAGCAAGCAACACTTTTGGAATGATTATTTCCACCACGTAATCCTTTGAGAACAGTGCAGTTGCATTTTATCTGCTAACAGGTGCAGGCGCCCATTTTTCAGACGATAGGAATTACCAGTAACTGGAGCAAGGGTCTTTGTGACATCAAGAATCCACATCAGATGTTGTAACAGCATTCTCTAGTACAGTAAATGCACCCTTCAGTCTTGCTCAGCATTCTGTAGCCCTTTCTGAAAGTGCTTACAGAGGGTTTTGGTTTTTTTAAAAGTTGTCAAGTCGAATGCGTCAAACCAAAATTCGAAAGTCTGTGCATTTGTGGGGGCAGGAGAGGAGGAGGGTAACCAAGCTATTTAGAGGAGTGGGGGAGAGAAAACATCAGTTTTGGTCTTGCCCCAAACTGACAGAACACCCAAAGTAAAGACAAGGTAAAATGATCCACTCTTCTCTTGAGTCAGGACTTGAGAAAGAAGGTAAATATCCATTCCAAATGGTATCCACTAAAGCACTAAAGGCTTGCTAAATAAACAACTCTGCAATGCTGAAAATGTTCCCAAGAAGATGCAGAGGAGAGAAAGAGTTAAGATGGGCCAAAAGAGCTTGTGGGGAAAGTGGGCAAGCAGGTTTATTATGTAGAAAACACAGGCAACATCAAATCGCAAGTGGGATTATTATTGTGTAGCAGACTTGTACTGCTGTTGCTCAGGAATGCTAAGGAAACAAACAAATAAACAAAAAATCCATTTCAGTTTTGAAATCAGTGGTTAAAACCAGTACAGCGTTGAAAGGTTCAGTACCCTGTCTTGGTTCAAAATGGGATGCACTTGTATCCAAACACAGACAAAAAAACATGGCTCATTGGTCTCAGAAACCCCCATGCAAAATATGATTATGATATTTCAAGGGGTGTCCAAATGCATTACAAATAAGCAAATTTCCCCCCCAAAATATATAGTAAATTTGCTTTGTACATTTATATCTTGCTGCTCTTGCATGGAGCTTCCCACACCCCAATGTTTAAATCCTCACAGCAACTCTGTAAAGTGGGCTTTGACTAAGAGAGAGCAACTGGTCCAAGGTCTTCCGACGAGCGATAAGTTTGATACGACATTTGAACCCAGGTCTCCTGAAGCGTACTCTGCAGTCTCACTGCACATCATGTGACTAGAGAATAGCATTGGCCAACCTTACAGGTCTGTACTCTGGGGTTCCCTGTGCCCTGTCTCAATAATATGTGTGAAGTAGTGCTTCAAACATGCTGTACAAATGCTAAGCAATAGTACTGATGTTTTGCCCACCACTCTGTTGACTCCTTTGAGCACTAGCTGATTTGCAGCTCCCCATTTCTTGCATCCATCCCGTTCACAACACAGGTGAGTGCTGGTCCAGCCAGTCCAGCACAGAGGGCACTTTATGGCATACCTGAAGCAGAAAAGTTGTTGTTGTTAGTGTTTAGTCCTTTAGTTGTGTCCGACTCTTCGAGACCCCATGGACCAGAGCACGCCAGGCACTCCTGTCTTCCACTGCCTCCCGCAGTTTGGTCAGACTCATGTTGGTAGCTTCGAGAACATTGTCCCAACCATCTTGTCCTCTGCCATCCCCTTCTCCTTGTGCCCTCCATCTTTCCCAACATCAGGGTCTTTTCCAGGGAGTCTTCTCTTCTCTTGAGGTGGCCAAAGTATTGGAGCCTCAGCTTCAGGATCTGTCCTTCCAGTGAGCACTCAGGGCTGATTTCCTTAAGAATGGATCAGTTTGATCTTGCAGTCCATGGGACTCTCAAGAGTCTCCTCCAGCACCATAATTCAAAAGCATCAATTCTTCGGTGATCAGCCTTCTTTATGGTCCAGCTCTCACTTCCATACATCACTACTGGGAAAACCATAGCTTTAACTATATGGACAACTATACAGAAAAGTTACTGCCAAGCATAGTTTGTAATCTAAATTTAGACAAATGCCATCAATTTGCAGACCGGCTGGGGCACAGGGGGTAGCAGGTCTCTTGTGTGAGTCCCCTTCTTTTGAACAGGACCAGGCTGCCCACCTGTTGCAGCACCTCCCTCCCAGCAGAAATGCATGTCCCCCAAACGGTAGAGATTTGCATAAAACTTGCAAACTTTAGAACTAATCGCTATCATTTAAATAGAAATAATGGCTGCGTACATATTATACAGTACCTTTAAAGCACATTCAAAGTACATTTTCCCATAAATAGTTCCGGGCATTGTACCCCCAACAGAGTTAACAATTCCTAGCAACCCTCAACTTAATGTGATTTAAGGTATAGTGTATAGCGGCCGCAGACATCTCACATATTGCAAGGCGCGCCATGTGACCTGAATAGGCGCCGTCAATGGGCTTGAGGGCCGAAGCCCCCTAAAAATCGTCTTGGGGGGTCCGCCCCCCCAATAACCGACCCCATCCAGCGAAGGCCATCGCCCCCTCCCCACCCAAAATGCACAGGGAGGGCGGGCTGCATGCCTCCTGCCCCCTCCCAGCAAAGCTCCACCCATTTCTTGGAGCTGATTTAGGCCAGCAGCTCCTCCTATTGCTCACAGGAGGCGGCCCACTTCATTTGCATATTCATGGCTATTTATTTTCATAGCTTCCCCCCCCCCCTTTTTAAAGTCGCGTCCCTGACTGTGCCAGGTGCAATCGGGTGGGCAGCTGCAAAGCCCTCCTACTGGTCTTATCTGTTATAAACAGACTGACGGACAGTCTCAAAGGACGTATGCTCTGAAAACAGGAACTTGGCAGTCTAATGGACTGGTGCAGGTATGCTGCGTGTGAATTGACCATATTTAGCCAAACCCTACTTTTAAAGAATCTTTTAAACTTTAAAATTCCCAGCCAGCCCTTAAAACTGCAGGGAAATGACTCCCTGGGAATTGAGGTCATATCTAGCATTCCCCTTGGCTGTGGTGTCTGAAGCAGGGCAGGCTGTTTGCTTAGTAATCTCCTTGGCTCTGTAAGTTGTTAGGGGTAACCAAAGGCAGCTGATTTCTTAATTGTTTAAGGCAGGAAATCAGCTTCTTTCATTAGTTGCCATAATAATCTTGAGAGCAAACCAGGATTCTGCCTGAGTGAGTTTTTGATCTTCTCCCATTTTCTTGGTATCGGCAGTGAGCCTTTATCCTGAGAAAGCTGTTGTTCTCTTAATAAACAGGACAGCGGTTTGGGAACAACAACAACAACAATATCAGATTTCTTTCTGTACTGGGTTCAAGAACTTCTCCTTTCTTGCAGTCCTGTGCCTGTTTACTCAGAAGTAAGTCCAACTGTGTCCACTGGGGACTGTTTTTGCTTATTTGTTTATACATCCATTCATACATTCAGAAATGTTTGTCCTGTTTTTCTTTCAAAAGTAAACCCAAAGCATATAGAAAAAAATGCTGGAAATTATTATTTTATGACACTATTTTTAATTGTGTTTTATTTCTTGTAGGCGGCCGGGATCGGCTGTCATATAAAATAAAATAATACAATATAATGATAAAAGTATACATAGTACACAGTGAAATTAGTAAAATCAATTTCATACAATAAAACCAAAGACAGAAAAGTAAGACAGTAAGTTTGTGTTTAGGATTGCAGCCTTGGCTCATCAAACAAAAACAGGTTGTTGTTGTGTTTTTTTGGGGGGTGGGGGGACAAGAGGTGGTGAAATGTCCTGAGAGACTGAGGGAGGGGGTTGGTTTTGGTGTGCTTATTGTCCATTCTGACCAACTACCCCTTGGCAAAAAACAACGTAAATGGGGGAAGACTCTAAGCACTGTTTAAGGGGCAAGGAAGATCATTACCATAGTAACTGACATGATTTGCAAGGTTTAATCAAGGAATTGCAGAGAGGTGAGCAGTTAGGCATGCCTCTATGGTGAGTAATGAATGTGTGGGCAATTCCTCACTGCAGCAATGGATGGGGGAGCACGGTCCAGCCTTTAATGAGCTATCATTCTTTGTTCCTTATACAGAGAGTTCTGTGACTGTGTTAGTTCATCCTTGGGACATTTTGGACTGCAGAGAGAAGTATTTTAGGTTGGTTGGTTGGTTGGTTTGGAAAAAACCACACCCTTCTCATTCACACCAACAAGTGGCTGATAAGTGACCTCTTTAAATCCAAATCATGTAAAATCTAAATTAACTTGTTTGCAGCGGTTTGCAAGCTGAGCCACAAATCTAGGAAAAGCAACAGTAGCATAAGGACGGTCAGTGTGGCATAGCGTTTAGAGACTTCAACTAAGGTGAAAAGAGTTCAAATCTCCAGTCTGCCGTGAAATTTGCTGGGTTATTTTTGCTGGTGGCCTAGTGGAGGTGAAGGCTAATGGAGTGCAGATCTGGAACTTTTCTCCATCGAAGGAGTGAGGATTTAATCCAGCGGTTCTCAAACTCATCCCCAGTGACGCCTATTCCACCCTATAAAAAGCATTATTCGGAATAGCAGTTTCCATAACTCACTGAGGAAGTCAATAACACGATAAAATCCAAAACAGTAACAATTAATTGCACAAATACAGTGGTACCTCAGGTTACAGACGCTTCAGGTTACAGACTCCGCTAACCCAGGACTACTACCTCGGGTTAAGAACTTTGCTTCAGGATGAGAACAGAAACTGCGCGGTGGCGGCAGCGGGAGGCCCCATTAGCTAAAGTGGTACCTCAGGTTAAGAACAGTTTCAGGTTAAGAACGGACCTCCAAAACGAATTAAGTTCTTAACCTGAGGTACTACTGTACTCAAAATCGAATTAAAACTACTTAGTTTAATTAATTCAACATAATTGATTAACTCAACCGTTTTGAGTCCATGGCTTCCTTGACCAACCACATTCTTTCTGCGACACCCCTGTGGGGCCCAGGGACCCAGTTATGTCACCCCTTGCCTGCAGAGCTGGCAGCCCCTCAACCGTCCCTTGTGGAGTGTTCCCTCAGCCTCCTCTCCCCTCTCCTTGGGGGTCCTCCAGGCAGCTGCCACAGCCCCCCACACCCGTTTTCTGAGCCACCTCAGGTCCTGGCAACCAGCACCCCCCGGCTAGCCCCAGAGACAGCCTTTTCCTGAGGAGATGGTAGCCAGGGCTGCTGCGACAAACAGCTGTGTAAGCCTTTTGGAGGCAAAGATGCGAGAGGGCATCAGAGGACAGAGGGAAGGAAAGAGGGACAGAGGCCAGTGTTGTCCGTGGCACTCCTGACCATCAGTCAAGACACCCCAGGGTGCCACGACACACTGGTTGAAAACTACTGGATTAACTTGATCCAGTGAGAGTAGTTCTTAAAGTCTGATGGTCATTTATACATCCTGCGCCTGTTAGCGTCCCCCTAGGTAATCCCACCATCTCTTGGGGGAGGTACCACCCACTGTGGGAACCATTGATGTTACCTCTTGGGGTGGTATTCTGAAATGTGAACAGAGACCTCACTAGCCAAAGGCTAACATGTTAACCACTACTCAAGCCAACTCATTACTCCATGGCGGCTTGCTCTCCTCTTCTCTTCTCTCTCTCCCACACCCTCCCATGCCATGAAGACGATAAAATAGGGTCACTTGTTCTGAGAGCTTATCTATTAATAACCCACATCCACATATGTTACCTTGAGCTCAGCAGATGATGGAAGGGATACAAATAGGAGGATAACGATAAAAATTGTTGTATGCAATGTTGTAAAATAAGTTGCATGCAATGTTAGTTCTATGGCAGAGTAGAACCATTGAAATTAGTGGACATGACTAATTTAGGTTCATTGATTTTAGGGGGTCTACTCTGAGCAGGCCTTAGTTTGGAAGAACCCATTATTTTTAAAAACAACTTTAATTTTTAAAAAATCATGGTCATACATTTCCTAATCCTTGCCAGTCATGTCCAAAGTCCGTTTTGGGGGCCTAATCTGGCCCGCTGGTCTGTTTAATCCAGCCCCTGTGGAAGTTTATTTCCTGGGGTAAAATCCTAAAAAAAAACCTCAACAACTTTGGTCGGCCCTCATGTCCCTTCACTTCATCAAATCTGGCCCTCTTTGAAAAAAGTTTGGACACCACAAAGCAGGGGGTGTACCTGGCTTGAGACCTCTAAGTGCTTTCCAGATATAGAAGGGGCATAGTCTGAAGGTGCAGGATTCTGGATTCTGATTCAAACCAGCTCTGAGTCTGGCCTGATGGAAAACATCTTGGAACCCTCTGTTCTTTCATTAGAAGAAGAGCTGGATATGAAGGCAAGAGGTATTTGGTTGTACCAAAAATACCTAAGTACCAAATGTTGCTGTGCATTTTTGATTTTGTAAATTTATTTCCCTGTACTTCCTCCCAAAGAGCAGGACTTGTCCTTACTGTGTTGTTGGATTTTAGGAATTTAGTACTGTCCATTTGCATTCAACATTGAATGTTTGCTTGCTTTTTGGGCATTGATTTGATCTGTTGGTATTGTATCTTGTCAAGTCACTTGGAGACTTTCTTAAAAAAATAAAAAAGCAACTAACAAATTTAACCAATAAATAAACTCCTGTGCTTACACCCCTGTGTAATGTGTCAACAGAAATAAACAGTGGCCTTTTTGAATTTGTCTGTTTGTGTCCTTCATTCAATTTTTGCATCCAGATGCTTGCCTTTTGAGAAGGGTGGGCTGGCTCATTTGTTATATTTTGGTATGGCAAAGCCGTCATGAGATGCTTTCAGCTCTTTGCTTCCATGCAGGGAATATTTCTGATGTATTTGCCCCTACATGGCAACAGCTGGAGTTTGACACACCAGGACAGGCTTGAGGAGAACTAACAGGCTCTGCTCTGAGTTAAATACCAGCTCCCACCACCTCGGGGCATACTATTAAGGAACACTTGCCATGTGGCACTGACAAAGCAACATCATCTCCTCTGATGACTCTCTTTACTGTGTCAAAAAGCAACATGTGAATTGGTACTTTGACTTCCTTTCCTTGAAAAGTCCGGCATTGTTTAATTGACTTTAATGGATTTCATTGTAATAAAACTAATTTCCAACTGAGCTGTATTTGCATGCATGGACGGTGTCCTTATATTCAGTTTGGTAAAATCAAAGTAGTTTCTTTCATTTCCCCATTGCAGCGGCTCATAGCCTACTCAGAGGGAGTTCATACATTACATTTCCCTTCGGACGATTGCGGCTCTGACTTGATTGATTGAATCTGGGAAATCCCAGCGACCCAAAGGGCCAATCCCAGCACTGATTGGCATTAAAGATAAAACTGTTTCCCAGTGAATCAGCTGCACATTTCTTATGCAGTCTAATTTATTCCGTTAGTATTTTGTTTTCTTGCTGCAAAAGATACTGGCCATATGGCATTCCCTTAAGACTGCACAGGGAAATTCATTGCAGGTTTCAATACAGAGCGCACACATTCAATACACATGTTCTGTTCTGACATGAAGATGACTCCTAGGTAATACTGACCATGCTGAACAGGTCTATTTGGAGGTTCAGATAATCATATCTAATACTTGCTATCATCTGATGAAGATCTGCTTTAGAATAGGTCAGCAGACCAGCCTCTTCTTGCAGCTGAAAGCAGATATCGCTGAGTAGCTTGGAGGCACGATGGATGATATTTTGACTTTAAGAAAGGTAGGAACATATAATAACCTATCTGGTCCTGGAGAACACTCAAGTTTCATGAAAACACTTGGCTGAGTATGTTCCTCAAGTATTGTGATCCAGAAATGTCATGAATTTGAATACTGCCATCTCCTGCAAAGCAACATTAACTGTACTGACTATTTGATTGTAGAACATATACTCGACAGTTAAATAAGAGGCTACTTTTTAATCATCACCATCGCCATGGTGGTAATAATACACTCACTGCTATAGCTAGGTACGTTCTTCATGTGGATCCTTTTGAATAATGTGGATAGTGGAGAGACAAGAATTCCTGGGAGCTGCAAGAGGTTTCTTTACTTCACTTTCCTCCACCTGCACATGCCCTATGCTGTCCCCAGATATTCTCAGTGTCCGGGCAGAACGATGGGGGTGGAGACGCTCCTTCAGGTATATAGGACCGAGGCTGTTTAGGGCTTTAAAAGTCAGCACCAACACTTTGAATTGTGCTCGGAAACGTACTGGGAGCCAATGCAGATCTCTCAGGACTGGTGTTATGTGGTCCCGGCGGCTACTCCCAGTCACCAGTCTAGCTGCTGCATTCTGGATTAGTTGTAGTTTCCGGGTCACCTTCAAAGGTAGCCCCACATAGAGCGCATTGCAGGAGTCCAAGTGTGAGATAACTAGAGCATGCACCACTCTGGTGAAACAGTCTGTGGGTAGGTAGGGTCTCAGCCTGCATACCAGGTGGAGCTGATAGACAGCTGCCCTGGACACAGAATTGACCTGTGCCTCCATGGACAGCTGTGAGTCCAAAATGACTCCCAGGCTGCGCACCTGGTCCTTCAGGGGCACAGTTACCCCATTCAGGACCAGGGAATCCTCCACACCCGCCCGCCCCCTGTCCCCCAGAAACAGTACTTCTGTCTTGTCAGGATTCAACCTCAATCTGTTAGCCGCCATCCATCCTCCAACCTCCAACAATCTGCTTAGAACTATGTTGACTATGACCCAATCTGATTGTACTGCTTTTGGTTTGATTTTTTTGTGTATTATAGGGATTTTGTACTGAAGTGGGATAAAATGTCAGAATGGCATTCCATTTGTGCAAAAAAGAAAAAAGGAGGGGGGGGGAATGAGAGTCTCCATCCTGTCCCTAGAAGAAGCCCATCAAAATTGGTGAGATTACTTCTGCATAATGAATTTCATTTCTGAAACCCCAAACTGCAGCGGAACTTTTCTTTTGAATTAATCATGATTGGTCCCAGTCTGAAGCAATTGGCCTGCTGCTATAGCAGCAGATTTTACAGTAATTAAAAACACGCAACACAACCACACACACAACTAAGAAAGAAACTTCTGATGCTCATGTAACATTTCCCTGGAGGGGGAGTCAATTTCCCACAGCAATGAAGATATAATTATCCTGATGTAAATCACAGCCGGATAAGTGGGAAGGATTGGCCTTTCCTCCTCTTGAGCTCATTGGAAGATTTTATCTTTCTGACAGCTACTGTCTGGTGGAGAGAAAGGATGCTTCCCTTATAACCGGTTTGCTTGGGGAAGAAATCAACATGTCTCAGGAAAAATGAAGGAAGAGATACTTCGGAGACCTGTAGCTTCCTATTCAGGATTAGGAACCAAACTGCTGATGCATTAAAAACAAGAGCCGCCACCAAGAACTATAGAGAAGACTGGAAAATGTTTACTGAATAGATGGGGGGAAATTGTGTACACCTGAAAACGTTGGCAGCGTTAAGATAAATTCAACAGTGTAAAGAAGTTCGGATGGATGCAATAATGGAATACTGAATAGTTTAGTTTTGGTAAAATATGCAGGGATTTATGATATGCAAAATGAACCATGGAAAGAGAAGAAGGGAAGTCATTGATATATTAAGGATGTTTACATGAGTATTTTAAATTGTAAAACAGAAAATTTAATTACACACACAGAACTACAACCCTTGTTCAGCATCATCTAAATCTGGGTCATGCAGGTGCCCTGCCCCACAT